CAGAATTGATGATAGCCATATTTGCAATTATAACATGGAAAACATTTTTTTCTGTCCCAATAATTAGAAAAGTGGGGCAGACGGAGTATTTCTAATTTTTCTTCTGTAGCAGTATACTAGTTTTTACAATACACCATTTATAAAATAAAAGGTAAAAATATTTTTTTTTAAATGCTACTGTGAGACCACAAGCTGACAATTTTGGATTAACAGATATTCCTACAGTCAGTATGAGCCTCTACCTAATTGGTTTTAATCAGTGCAGAGAGAAAGGTGGCATGTTAGTACAAAGAACATGCTGTATTTTCACTGCTACCTAAAACTATTTGCTTCTATTAAATAAAATAATATATATATATAAAAAAAATATTTTATGAGCATATTAAGTAACACTTTAGCTACATATGTTAACACCTTACCAGATATCAGGGCAAGAGCAGACACAATGAAGCAAGCTATTTTTTCAACAGCCATTCTTCAGATTAAATAACATGGAAAACATAACCGATAAGAGAAACAAGTGCAGTGGTCAGAACATGGACAGGAAGTCTATTCAGCATAAGGTTTAGACTTGAGAAAGGAAACGAAACTTCACCGGTGAAGTTACCACCCACCTGTCCCCTGTTTGCAGCAACTGTCCCAAGAGGTTACTTCAAATGCAGTGGCAAGAGTCCTTCGCCACAGCTCCACTATGCCAAAACTCCATCCCTCCAGATGTGGCTAAACTGCAACTCCCATGATTCTCTGGCAATACATTTCAAAGGATCATGGGAATTGTAGTTCAGCAACATCTGGAGGGCTGGAGTTTAGGGAAGCCTGCCATAGGCAGATTATCAGCACTGTTGCTCTCCGGGCCAACAGAATGCTTCTCATAGAGAAGCACTGAGACAAGGTTCATGCACAGCAATTGTCAATTTGCACATGCAAAGCATAGCTTTACACTTTTTGGGCACAAAGCCATCAAAAAATACACCCTTCTGTCTAAAAACTGGGAGGTGAAACGTAGACAGACACTTTTGAGAAAACAGTGCATTAAGCGTGAAAGAGAGAGAACTCCAGCAAGCTGAGGTGTTTTAGGATTTTGAAATGTTACTTTAAGCCCCCTTCTACTGCAAAGAAATATATGCACACATCTTTCTGTAAGTTGCCAAGGTTTCTCAATATTTTCTTCAAACAGAGACGTTATTTAAATGACAAAAGTCCAAAAGAAGTAACCAACCAACCTGAAAATGTGTCTCCTAGTACCAATATTTTCAAAATATGTATATAGAACTTACAAAGGTTTCATTAAGGCATTAAGTGCCTCCAGGTCCAGCGCGTCCATAAGGCGGCACAAGTGGCCGCCCTAGGGGCACTAGGATGGAGTGACGGGCAAGAGGTGGGTGCACAGTGTGGTGACATTCTGTCATCAAACTAATATGGTGATCAGGGATCACGTGACCAAGCTCATGTACAGTGGGATAAGCTTTACCTTTTGAAATGGTAATTGAGTAATTCAATACCTTTACAAGTCAGGAAAGAGGTAACCACTTCCCCCTATCTCCATCTCTGTTCCTTCTTGGCTGTGCTACTGAGCAAACCCTTAAGCAGACATGGCCTAATTTCTATCTATCATGGTGAACTGTGAGTGGGAGCTGGTGATTTTATAAGATGTAGTTGTTATTGTTAGTTAGGTTGTTGTTGCTGGTATAGTTAGTTAGATTGTGTGTCATTATCTGTATATATGTTTGTTTTTTCTTTTGTTTCTATATTTTATCTGTCTCACCATTATCTCGTAACACTCCAGTTTAAAAGAGGACCTTAGTATGTATTGTTATATATATATAACTATATATATATATATATATATATATATTTTTTTTTAGTCATATTAAGGATAAGCCTCTAAATTCATTCATTACAGTCAGGTGGGCCAAATTCCAAATAATTTTTGTTTTTATTAGTTTAACACGCCTGCACTGCCAGCTATGTTTTATTTATTTTTTTGATGCTGGATTAATAATTATAAATTCATAGATTAAGTGAATTGTTGCCAACGTGAGGCTTATATTTGATCACACTGGAGAGATGTGATAGTGTAACTTTCTGTTGGTTTACAACAGTAAAAACATTAAAAGCATTTTTTTTTTTTTGGTTCCCAACAAATATAACCTCAAGTTGATTTCTGATTTTTGAATAGCAACAGACAGTTTTCTATAGATTGCATGCTGCCAAATTGTGTAATGGTAGCATTCAATCTACTTTTTTTTTCTTCTCTCTCCATCTTTGATGCTTTGGTTTTTTTTTGTTTTGTTTTTTTGTCATTAAGAATATAGGGAAATTAGATTGCTTTGATTGAAGATGGCATAAATAATAAAGTGACAATGTATGCTATTTGTTCTATTTGGCTATCCGCAGGGGGTTAAATAGTTATGGGTATGAGAATTTGCACCTATGTTCAATTGCGAATACATTTTTCAAAATTATATCTTTCCCACTCACGTTCATGTATAATAATTTTCGGTTTAAACTATATACAATTTGTGATTATTGCATGTATTCATCAGTAAATTATAAAATAACTAATATGGTTTTGTGTTCAACTCTCCATCAGGTGTGGAATAAATGTCTAAATTAATCAAAATTCCAGGAGACATTTGTGGGTCTTTTACATACCTCTAAAATATAAACATAGCCTTAAGACACCACAACCAAATAGATTTTATTAGACAAAACTAAATAAGCCTTTGACACAAGACAATATGCTGATTACTGTTGTACATATTTCATTGTCTGTGTTTGATTCAAAGAACATTTTAATTGGAAGGCCGAGAGAGGCGAAGGTAACCGACATGTCCTGTCACAGTTTACTATACAGATGAAGAAGTGCTGAGATTACCAAGTCAAACTATTAACACAGCCCAGAATGAGGGTAAAGTAACAGCAAGAAGCAGGAATTTGTGTCATTTCAAGGTGGTCACAGAATGAGTTTACCCTACTCATGAACTTGCATGTGTCATTAAACCTACAAACCTCAAGCTTTGTAATGGATTGGCAAAGACAATATTCAAGGAGAGTTCATTCTAAAATCACAGCTATCAAGCACACAGATCAGTCACAGTCTTCAGATTCCACTCCCAGGCGAAATTAAACATCATATTGTGTCATAAACTAGTGGTAATTACTGTATGGGGTTGATTGCGTCTAGATATTACTACTTCACACGAACACATTACCATATAATATTAATGAACAACTACCAGGGTTCTTACCAACCCACTTGGGCAGTGGTTAATTTAAAAACGGAACAACTGAAAACAATTGAAATTGGGGGAATGTGGGGTGATGCAACCCCTGTTTGACTATATTCTCTCACTTTTAAGTGTGCTCAACATAAGAGAAAAAAAAAGTGAGGGAATGTGGTGACATTCTGTCATCAAACTAATATGGTGACCAGGGATCACGTGACCAAGCTCATGTACAGTGAGATAAGCTTTACCTTTTGAAATGGTAATTGAGTAATTCAATACCTTTACAAGTCAGGAAAGAGGTAACCACTTCCCCCTATCTCCATTCCTCCCTGTTCCTTCTTGGCTGTGCTACTGAGCAGACCCTTAAGCAGACATGGCCTAATTTCTATCATGGTGAACTGTGAGTGGGATCTGGTGATTTTATAAGATGTAGTTGTTATTGTTAGTTAGGTTGTTGTTGCTGGTATAGTTAGTTAGATTGTGTGTCAATATTTGTATGTTGTTGTTGTTTTGTCTCTGAATAAATATTTGTTAAAGTAGACGGACCAGAGTTTATATGTGTATGCGTACATAATAATTTAGAGAGTTTGGTGATACACCACACACAGCATTCACTATGTAGTGTGGCCGAGCAGAGCAGAGCGCACCGTGGTACAGGAACTTCTGTTTCCTGTACCTGGCTGGACTGAAAGGAAGTGCTCACTGAGAAAGCACTTCCTGTCAGTCCAGCCGGGTACAGGAAACTGAAGCTCCTGTACCGCAGTTTGCTCTGCTCGGCGACACTACTAGAAAGGTAGGAGACACACTGGGGACAGGGGAAAGAACTCTTTGTACAGGGGAGGG